CCGGCGGTTATACACTCTGTCAAGAAAAAAACAAACACCGCCGCCTTCTTCTGTCGACGCACATACGATTACGGATGAACGAGGACGGTCCCCAGCGAGAAACTTCCGACGGGGCCAGCACACGCGCGTATATTTATTTACGCTCTCCGCGGATTTGATGCACTTTGGATCACGGTCCCGAAATAGTGTGACAGTCCTCTGTGACACGAACAGCAACGTTCTCTTCGCGGTAAATCTGCTTTCGAACGGCCTAACGTGCGTCACTTTTCTCTACCGTTCTCGTGAATGCTCCGTATTGTTCGTCCTTTCCTTGGTTTTCTCGAAGAGAAAAAATTAATATTATCAATCGAGAATAGCGCGTGGCAAGCAACAAGGTAGGTCGAAGTAGAATAACGAAGGATAGCAGCTTCAGTCTCTTCCTCTTCGTGTCGATAACTTTTTCGAACCAGTAAACGAGGTTAGGTCGAATACCGTTTACCGACCTTGAACTCTCATTTACCTATGTGCCACGGTATGTATACACAAACTGGCCGGCTGATTGGTGACGCGAACAGCGTGCGCGCGCGCGATCCGTTTACATGTACGCGAGCACACGCCAATTCGTTGCGACGATCTCGATCAGCTGAAGCGCCACTTCATTCTCGCGATACTCTCCTTCGAACGATTCTGTTATACACGCCCCGTTGTTATTGTTTCGTTACTCGAATGTTACCACGTTATTTACGTCGTTCGCTAGTAAATGACACTTTAGCGAGGACACTAGAGAAAATCTGCGTGTCGTGTTTTAGTGGTCAAATCGTATTATCGCCCTCGATAGACGAAAGATACTCGATAATTTGTTCAACGACGAAAGAACGTGGCGTACGGTATATAAGCGAAAAAAGGCACGAGAGATTCCTGTGCTGTCTCGACAGTTCGCGAACGTTGTCAGCTTTCGTTGTCCTAAGAGACGTACACGGTGCAACGGTCGCCAGCGGGGTTACGGACGCGCACTATTAGTATCATGATACACTTCTTATCCGTTGGCCGTAGCAGAGCACGAATCGGTCGCGCGCGCACACACGACACCGGTTCTTGACTTTCCACGATGTGTATATCGACAGCGATGTGGTGTCTTAACCTCGCGACCCGGCACTCAACCACAAACACACACACGCGCACGTATATAATACGTATATCGGCGCGATTCGCCTTACGAAAAATTGTTTTCTATCGCTGCGAATCTCTCTCTCTCTCTCTCTCTCCCTCTCTCTGACTTTTTTCTCTGGTCGTTTACGTTTCTCTTACGAGACGAGTCTGGTAACGTTAGGCCAGGACGGTTGATCAATGTCCCTCGAATCTCGGGCGGTTAAGCCCTGTAGAATACGATAGTGTCGTTTTCTTTCTTGATATTCCTTTGCTCGTGCCGTCGCCAATGCCGGCGCACCGGCACCACATAACAACAACGACGACGACGACGACACTTTAACCTCAAATCCGAGATTGTCGCGTCGATCACTCCCCGTCATCCGTATACGCGTATCACCGAGTGACATTTTCCGCTTGCATCGTCCGTCTTTCTCTCCCGTCTACTTCTTCACTGTTGCTCACACTGTTCACCGTAACACTTGTCGCTCGTCACCCATCGCCGTCGCCGGCCTGCGGGCTTATTCGCGCGAGGCGACCGCGAGGACGCGCACTGTCACATTCTTGAAATCGCTGCCCGGAAAGCCAGCGAGAACGAGTGAGACACCAACGGGGAGGGATAACGCGTGAGCAAGACAGACAGACAGAGGAGAGAGCAAAATACACATGAAGAAAAAGAGAGTAGGGAGGGCTAGCGCACGTAGATCGGATATATAACTCGCGGAGGGCGAGAGAGGTCGAACGAGAGTAGCGCTTCGGTTGCACGTTTAAAACTTTCGGTACGGTAAAAAAAAGTTAATTGATGCAGCAAAGGGAAAAAATCAAATTCAGAGTCTCACCGCGACGTTACACTTCGACTTCAAACTGTTTCAAATTCTTCTACTGGTGGACGTTTTTGTCTTCGCGCACAGATACTGACGTCGTCACGGGGCAAACTGTTGCGAAGAACAACCACGATTGCGGCCGTAACACGACTCGACTCGGCTCCGCTCGACGACGCGACTGAGTGGTACGCACGAGGTCTCCGTCATGAGCGCACACACCGACTTCCACCGCCTCTTCCTCCACCTCCTCGTCGCTGCCGTCGCTCGTCTCGTCCCGTCCGTCTCGTCTCGGCGCGCCGATACACCGACTGCAGCATACTAAACACACAAGGGAGATTGTTAAACATGGCCGTCGCCGCCGCGCCATTATCTTTCGCGTTCGCCGTCAGAGGCGCCACTCACACGCGCTCATATACTACAGACGCACTATGATCGCTCTTTTCAAAATTTTACTATCTCCATTTTCTCTACTTTTACATTTCTACTATGGATATGTTAGTCGTAGAGCAAGAATAGAATATCCAAATTGTATAAGATCCATTTGAAAAGCTATCCGTGAAATGAAATAAAAAATTCTTCCAAGATACTTCCTTCCAACTAATCAAGAAGTTATGGAAACATCCACATTAAAAGTAAAAGGCTTGAGCAAATATCTAATATACATATTCATTAAAAACAATTTCGGTAAAGAAATGTTTGATTAACGAATTAATGTACGAAATGAACGATTCTCGAAGCATCATTGTATCGAAAAAATTTTATACGACTACCATCTCCTATTATAAACTAAACAACAACTTCACGTTTTCATAGAATAACAAATTACGATAATGATCATTACATCACGGATTATGAGACTATTTATGCAAATTCAAATTTTTATATGCGTAACTTAAGTAAAGACTTGGATACAAATTAATTTCATCTTCTAAATAATATAACAGAACTACGAATATTTTGCAAATATTTTACAATGTAAAATATGTATATATATATAAAATATTAAGGCATAAGATTAAAAAAATAGAATCTTTGTAGAAAATCGTTTTACTACCAAGTATTATAGAAATCACTATATTGTGGATATTTGATATGCTTCTTCCATATTCTTTTCAAATCTCCTATAAATGCATAAAAATCCGCAGTCTAATTACAACAAGTACTTTACTTTAGATATCTTGTATATCTACACATAACAAATACATGTTATACATTCTGTATGCATTTTTATACATTTAAATTTCCCATAAATGCATACGTAATGTAGCCATTATTTTACTCGTTCATTCAGAAAGGAACGAATTTTTGGGAAACTTTGCAAATGAGGATCGATGGATCGTAAATCTTGTGTGGCCCGCGATCCGTGCAACTGGAACACGTTGTGGAGCAGGATAAGATGTGGGACGGGAAGGTGGCGATGACAGAGGGTGAGGGAAAGACGCGAATAAGGACGGGGGGAAGTTAGCCCAGGCAAGGAGGGGGGCAAAAGCAAAGCGCAAGGTGGACTCGTCTGAAGACGGGGGGCGTCAGCCGGTCGGTCGCGGTTACTCGGGCGGCCGAGCAGACTGACGCCAGCGCCTCTGCGTAGCGCCAGCGCCAGTCACCGACAAGTACTCCACCCCGAGGGTCAACATTCCACGACGAATTTCAGTCATGATATGTATTTCTCGTAAAGCAGACGACGCCCGTTTCAACGTGTCAACGTCGTCGAATGACGGAAGAATGTTAAAGAAGACCGGTCCGTTGGTCGGACAGGAAAGAATTTGCCCCGTCGCTTTCTAGATGACGCTTTCCGTTCTGAATAATACTGATACGCTTCTTTGGTACATACTCACGCGATTTTAGATTCAGTACGCAGGAACGAGCGCTTGCGGGTTCATTGGCGGGCCTGTAACAGAATTTTGAATTTCATTATTCTTTTATGGCGCCGTTTGTATTCTGCGATGGAAACGAAAGTGGGTTAAGAAAACTGTTAAATTGCGATAAAAAGAATTAAGAATATCGTGCATTAAGAATTGAAATATTATTCGAAAAATTTGACGAAATTAGCGATGTAGATTTATATCGTCGATTAACGTAATCAATATAAATTAATCATTGGCTAATGGTGTTAATTTATAATTTCCAATTCTGTAATATATAACGAACGTGTTTCTTAAAACACTTGGCATATTATAAAATTACATTCATCGCAAAATAAATAGTTTTAAATGATAGTAATAATATTGGTGATTTTATCTGTAATTTATAAAGTTGCAAAAGCTGTTTGTATGGTAATGACGTATAATTTACGCCTTGTAACTTGTCAAGGCTGATATTATCGTGCAAGAGGGTATAGATATTTGTTTTCTTTTTCTTCGTACGAAAAATCTCTTCTATCAAAACATTCTGATATTGTTAACAGAATAAGAACTGTTGATCGATCGTGCTTTAGATAATATGTGATACTATGAAGTAAAATTGTAAATCGCGCGATATTGTAAAAAATTCAACAAGATAGAAGAATACAAATTCACCTTATAAACTTAGTACTTTTTCATAATAAACAAAATAATTACTAAATTAAATAAATAAATTACTCTATTCCATCATCGATCTCCATCAATTATACTTTACTAATCTCAATAACTGTATCTATTCTCATCCAGTTAGATTAATTATAAATTAACAGAAAAGCTGTTTCATTTGATCGATCACATTTTCTAACAATAAACATATCCTATTCTTCAGTAACCATATCTTCGTTCGTTTCAATGAATCCGTGTCTATCCATTATCCGATTAGATCTGTCATAAATGACCGATAAACTGTTTCAACGAGGAATAAAAACTACGAGAAGAAGATCTCTCTCGTTCGAATTATCCGTCCATTTGTCACCGTATCCTGGACAGATAAGAAAATCTGAATCGACCCTGTCCTCCCGTGCAAGCTAACGGTGGCGCCATTAATTTATTTCACGAAGCCCATATTGAAAATGACTTCGGAGGATAAATCAGCGTCTTGATGCATTAAAGTTTGCTCTTCTTTTTTTTTTTTTGCCGCCGACGTTGTTCGTTTTCTTCAGCGACGTCTAGACGCGTTATTTCACCGTTGGAACCCGCTCCGAAATGATATAGAATTTAGGAAGTTATTTAGTTATGTATGTCTGGCGTCCTGAGCTGGCTAGTAATCAGGCGCCTGGCCTCCGCAAACTATCCCTCGCTCTTTCTCTCTTTCTCTACCTCTTTCTTTCTCCACAACCGCTCACCATTTCCCCCCTTCTTTTCCTCCTTCTCCCCCCCGCCCCGTGTTCTGATTTTGTCTCGCTTCATCGTTCGTCCATTCGGTAAAGCCTGGTAAATTCTCCAGGGCCGTCCACGTTCTCGGTGCCTCGGTGTCTTGGTCCAATTAAAGTGTTGATCAAGGTGCCCTTCGCTCAACTTCCACGTCACACAAAACGAGCGTGTATTTCTAGCTTGTATCCCTTGGGACTACACCGTGCAAGACAACAGGCATTTTGTTCGTACGATCAGAGAACTGATTGCCCGACGACAGTGAGAAATTCTGTTTTCGCGTGGCTTTGTAATAACGTCCTATTTTTGTTCTCTTCCAGATCCTGTTTTCCTTTGTACAAGATCATTTTCGAGAAATTCTTTCTTCTGCGATAATTTATACAGGTGGTTGGCAAAGGTGGTTTCATCGAATAGCGACGAAGTAACTCTTACGATACGATTAATACGATTAATTTTATTCAAGTATCATCGAACGATCGTTGTTTAACTCCCATAACGCAATAATGGTATTATTTAAATCGTTTGTAGAAATTAATTAGCTGCAGAAAGTAACGTATGACTATGAATCTATATTTAAGTGTTGCGTATGTGTCTATTTTATCGTTGTATAATTCATTGGCAGTTATTAAGCAATCTATTTTTAGCGGTTATTAATTCTCAATTATCTCACTGGAATAAAAAGTTGCAATGAACCGTAATCTTTTTCCTTATGAGATCTTTTTTTTTTTAAAGAAAAAATCTATGAACGAAGGAGATTAAAATAATCCGAACGTTTCAAAAAAATAAAACGATGTGCATATTACGATATCTTATCTCAAGAATTCTTTTATACTCCATTAACAAGTACTTATTCATTGAAAACTGCTCTCTCTCTCTCGTTACATCTGTATTATTAACCATTCACCCAGTGGGCTGTATGTAAATGTACAAGCAACTCTTATATCGATAAAAATACAGCTACGACCCGCATCAAACAATTTCGAGACTCGTAGCTTATAAAATTTACTTGTGAACGTTGTTTGTTTTACTGTTATAGCGAATGCTCGTCGCTTATAACTTGCGAAACTCTCTTGAAGAATTTTGTTTCTTTTATTGATTCTATAGTTGTACTACTTGTAAAGCTAAATCTAAAACTCAAAACTTCGCTAATAATATTAATTCTATCGCTGAGAAAGATTCCGTTATATAATATACGTTACATCTACATATAACTATACACATTCTAAACCAATCAGAAAGCAAAAATCGATCACGATCGATTCGTAGGTTAAGTCGTATTCGAACTTAGTATGCGACGAAACCGACGCGTTTCACAATATTATTACTCAGTTAACTGTTGCGACCTCTTTGTAAAAATACGTGCCTAAAACGTATAGCAAACAGTAAATGACGAAGAATACACTCGTAAAACACAGAGCATTTGTGACTGTTGTAATATAGAATTAAGCTATAAAGAAACGATTGTTTTATATTTTTACTTATTTATTTTAATTTTATTACTGGCAGGGTTCGTCATAGCACAAATATTGTCATTTCTTCGTGACGAGTACGCTCGTTAAAAGTCGCTGACTGATTTGCAAACAAAATTCTAAATTGTCCAATCCCACACCGAAAATCCTAGTCCAAAGTCCAAAATCCTAAATCCTAAAATTCTTAAACAAACAAAATATGGCGCGGACGATCCTGAGCTGGGTCTCGGTTCGACGAGTTCAGGTCGAACTGTACGTTCGTCCCTCCAGAGTCAAGCTACAAAATTATAAGCCGTAGCGGATGACCATTTCGTAACGGGCCGCACTAGCGTAGGAGCGGAACAGGTCGCGCGAGCGGACACGCGTCGCACTTTTGCTTCGTTCTATTTCCAAACACGAAAATTATTCACGTTCTCTGTACCGGTAGCACGGAACACGGCGCCGTTCTTGACATATCGTGTCCGATGGCACCGGCAGTCGCCCGAACGGTCTGTGGTAATGCATGCGAAACATTCGCGAGGACGAGTCGGACGACGGTCTAACATAAACACTGGCGCCCTGGAAGACAATGTGGAAAGGAATGTCACTCGCGAGGAAACAGAATATGTCGGATGACATCACTTGAAATTGTACGCGTTTGAAGTTCTGCTGGATATTATTAGACTTGGCGGATCTTTATGGGAAGTTTGAAAGCGCAAAAATGCACAGAGATATAGTACTCTTCGTGCTACTTAGTAAATAATATAATTTTCTATCTGCAATCTAGATAAATGTCCGTCAAATATGCTGGATATTATTTATTATAAAATATTTGATATCATGTATCGACATTGGTGTGCCAGTGTTCAGTTGAAATTCGAATAAATAAAAGGAAATTACCTATCAATGTTTGAGTAGATTAAGAATTTATAAGCTGTTAAGAATCTAATCCAGAATGAAATCAGTAAAGTTCTTAATCCCAGTATTTCATAGTATTTAATTCATACTTAATATAAATATCTAAAGGAAAACCTATTTCATATTAACCACGTACATATCAAAGCATTGAAATAAAAATTAAATATGAAAAATCCTAAGTATGCCATAGATTACAAGCATATAATATACAGATATCCAATTATTTCCAACAACCTGGCTCAACGACAATTTTTCGTTTCGTAAAAGCTAGTTTCTCAACAGCATCAAACAGAATGTTTATTATCCATAATTTTCTACAGCTATATGCGAAAGGATTATAACTTTCATCGAGCAATAAACTAATAAGGAAACTGGAAGTCTAATCGGACAGCGTGTGCACAGCTGCGTATGTAATAACCATAACGAAACAAGGTTGCTAATCGTCGTTTAATATTCATTGTCCAAGAAACCGATCATTACGAATACGCTTCGGGCTCACACTGGCCGATCACGATTCGTACGACCGAGAAATAAGAAACAAAAGAGGATGGAAAAAGAAGAATTAACACGATTAAGAGCATCGTGACAAGCGCACGCAAGCAAGATGGCACACGCGTGCAAATATTTCTCATTGGATTTGTTCGAGGCATGCCGTACAAAGTAAGGACGCGATACTTTTCTTTGGACGCCGCGATCCAACCCCCGACGGCGCCGCTGTCAACGCTCGAAATTCCTACCACGACGACGAGAACGATCGCCGTCGTTCTTCGAAGCGGCTACTCACGATTCCACTGTAATTCATCTTCCGCGAACCGCAGAGACGTTTCCAAGCTATTCTTGGTCTCCGGTGGAGGCTGACTCTCGTTGTACCCCCGATGAACCGGTACGATGCTTTGAAACGCGTGTCAAAATGACCGATCATCAAAATTTCTGCCCGTTTTCTTGCTATCGAACCTGACTCGAACCAGTCGACACGAGTTTAAAGCTTGAAGCGATTTAACCCTCTGTAACGTCACGCGTACGTATAACTTGCAAGTTGCAGGTATTAATATAAGATGTTTCCAATTTTATTTTTTTAAGCCTTCTCTGTAGAGTTATTTCAGTCATCTCCATTTTTTCGAAATGTTTTTTTTATGGTCCTGAAGTATAAGATATTGTCTCATCCTTTCGTTGTTACATCGACACGTTCGTTACTATCGACGCATACGTTGCGTCGTCTTAATTCTCTAGAACTTAGTCGCTAGACTTTCG